TTTATAGTGCATTTATATAGTGCTTTATACGTTTTATATAGTGCATTTGTATAGTGCTTTATACGTTTATAGTGCATTTATATAGTGCTTTATACGTTTATAGTGCATTTATATAGTGCTTTATACGTTTTATATAGTGCATTTGTATAGTGCTTTATACGTTTATAGTGCATTTATATAGTGCTTTATACGTTTTATATAGTGCATTTGTATAGTGCTTTATACGTTTATAGTGCATTTATATAGTGCTTTATACGTTTTATATAGTGCATTTATACGTTTTATATAGTGCTTTATACGTTTTATATAGTGCATTTATATAGTGCTTTATACGTTTTATATAGTGCATTTATATAGTGCTTTATACGTTTTATATAGTGCATTTGTATAGTGCTTTATACGTTTTTAGTGCATTTATACAGTGCTTTATACGTTTTATATAGTGCTTTATACATTTTATATAGTGCATTTATATAGTGCTTTATACGTTTATAGTGCATTTATATAGTGCTTTATACGTTTTATATAGTGCACATATATAGTGCTTTATATGTTTTATATAGTGAATTTATATAGTGTTTTATTCGTTTTACATAGAACATTTACATAGAACAATATAATTTTTTTTTTAATGTATTTTAATATACATAAAACAGAATAATTGTAATTACATAATGGTAATACAACTGTAATAGCAATATAATTGTTTGATATTTTAAAAAGCTGAAGTGATTACTGTGTTTTATTTATTAGTTAGAATACGAATAAGTCAATATTTTAACTTCGCAAAAGCTGAATAATAGATCTAAGCCTACTGACTGATCAGTGAAATCTCTGACCATTAATCGTTCACATAATGATTAGATTCATTGATTATCAAACTAATTGTTTGTTGCAGTCCTATTACGAAGCCGATCACATGTGTGACCATGATCATAAAACACTTTAGGCCAAACGTGCTGGACATGGAGCTCTTCAGCGCGACTTCATGACTCTTACCGTTGGGGAAGGCGAGAACGCTGATGACCAAGAAGAAGGAGATGACCAGGATGAGACCCACCCACCGGTTACTGTCAGGGTTTCCATCATCTCTGCAACAGAAACATGCGGTCACACTCTGAAAAGCCCCCGCACACCCAGCCCATCTTCCTCTCTCTATTTCACCACAGTTTCACACACACACACACACACAGACAAACACACACACACACACACACACACACACAGACACACACAGACACAGAAACAAACACAGACAGACAGACACACAGACACACACACAGACACCAGAAGATGCAGTCAGACGCGTCACACAACTGAACACAAAGAATGAGCGTGTGTAATTACACTGCAGGAAAATTGCTTCCTGACATTTTGAAAACATAAATCATTTTTCTTCTATTGACAATGCTGTTGAAAGAGTCTGGAACCGACAGCGTGGGAACTACCACTTCTGTTTTCACCCAAGCAAACACATCATCGCCAGATGACGGCAGTCACGAAATGGACAAAAAAACGTAATGTTGCAATGAGATGAAAGTTGCGACAGATATTTTCTTCCATATTGTGAGTGGATTGCAGTGGATTTCAAGAAAGGGATCCAGTAAAAAAAAAAAAATGCATAATGGATGAACCGTTCACAATAAGATCAATAACATGCATTTAGAAAAAAAAGGTGAATTTTCATGTCAGTTATATCTAAGAATAAATATCTTAAAGTCGGCATGAAACAGAGGTTGCAACCAATATTACTGCTGTATTTTCAAGTGAAATTGAAAACAAGAAAAAAAAAAAAAAAAAGTAGGACGGACTTGATTTTATTAATCTGTTTTTAATTCGATTGTAAAAGGTGAGCCGTGCTGAACTGCAGCGAGCCTCACATACATGACAAACGGCAAGCGTTTACAGCGCAGGAAGAGCAACTTATGAAATTTCGATTAAAGATTGCAAAGGCAGTTTTGATAAATGCACAGATTTTGTTTGTGCACATAATTGTTTACAATAAGACCAGTTGGTGTGCATTAAGAAAACAGTTAAAAAGAAAAAACTGATGAAAATAGAAGGAAGGAATAATAAAATATAAACAATAAAAGGTAGAAAAATAAAAATAAAGTAAAAATAGAAAAATAAAAACCAATAAAAATAGAACAAAATGGAAATAGAAAATAAAAACGGAAAAAAATTAAAAATAAAAACTAGAAGAAAAGAAAGATGAATGGATAACATGGATATAATTTGTCATTTTTATCCTATCGTTTAAAATATTTACTTGCTCAGTCATTGTTGTTATGGGCAGGGCCTGAATTTCGTTTTGGAAAATGGGGGGGATTCTCCCTTTAGGTTTTTTTAATTTGAGGGGATTTTTTTAGACATATTTTCAAACTACAGTCATCCAACCTAAATGTTTCGTCACCCGGTGTATTTGTGTTTTACTATTTATAATATTGTTGATTCATATTTATATTGTGAGGAAGATTCTTAAAAAGAACTTTGATTTCAAACTCTGAATTGAATTTATTTTAACTAAAAAAAGACAAGTAAGCAGTCAGTAATAAAATAAGAACAGATAAATGACAAGCAATGGCACAAACCAATACAACAACAAGATACAAATAAAATGAACTGTGCTTTAGGTTTTTCAGGTATAACAGTAATATTCAGGTACAGAAATACCACAGCCAAACACTGAGGCTGCCGTCTGCGGCGCCATCGCAATACGTAATCAGATTACGTAAACATGTAATATAAACATGTTTTGTGAAATAGCTTAAAGGCAGAGTAAGTGATTTCTGGTAGCCAATGTTGATA